GTTGAAAAGGAAATCAAAGATGGGTTTCTTTTTTTTTAAATTCAAAAAATTAGTAGTTTTATTGATATATAAGTCACATACCATACAATTCAGTGGTTTAAATATATTAAAACAAGCTTGTGTAATTGTCATCACAATCAATTTTAGAACTTTTTTCCTTTAAAAAAATCATTTTCTAAGTGTGACTTTTCAGGCGAGTTGAGAATATTATGAAGTAGGGAGCGGTGTATCAAGAATTGATTTAGGAGAGGAGGAAGTTTGGAATGGATTGAATTTGACGTGCCCAGTACATCATCCATGAGGTGATGTGTAGACTACACATATACAATATTCAAATTACAAATTTGAAATAAGTTTGGAAGACTTGAAAGCTACATACAGGTACAGCTTGAGAAGGAGTGAACTGAAGCTTTGAAAATTGATGAAAGAGAACCTATTCCTAAGGATAGAACTTTTAAAAACATCTGTTTTATGTTGAGAGAAGTCTAAGAGGAAGAACAACAATTAGATCAGTGGTGGACAAGCAATAAGGGTGTGGAAGGTGGGAGTTGTTGAAGATCTATGGTATTGAAAGGAGATATCCAAACACCTAAAGTAGGGCCTTCATGGTACACGATCCAGGGGTGTATATACTAGTGGAGAAAGTTATCAAGGCAGAGCCATATTGTAAAGTTTTCAGAATTTGTCCCTTTAATACCAAGTTCTTAATTCTTTTATAACAGAAATTACTTGTTGAGCTATTATCTTCATGGACAATACAAACTCATTCCAATGAGACCAGAATTAATCTTATAGAAGTATAGTGTTTTAGGAGGCCTGTTGTAACAGTGGTTATGAGTTGGGCTGTGATATGCAGTGTCCGAAGTTCGAAACCACCAGCCGCTCTGGGAGAGAAAGATAGGGCTCTCAACTCCCCTGAATAATGACTGTCTTGGAAACTTACACGGCCAGTTCTTAACCTATCTTACGGTCACTATGAGCCATTGTCCACTTGGTAGTGAGTTTTTTTTTTTTTTAAGTACATGCTTTGTTACCTTAGACTGCCTCAAAGCTTATCAACATGTTTATATCAGTTCCTCAAGTGCACTAAAATGCCATTCTTTGAATTATCAGCAAACTTATTTCTTAAATGCTCCACCCATGAAACGTGTATATATTATTACTGGTGATAGAAGACAAAAAGGAATGAATTCTTTGTAAATGCAGCTCTTTGGCATGAAGTATAAGGATTCTCCATTAAGCTCTACTTTTTAAATGAAGATTCCTTAGATGACTCCTTACGAACCACATACACAGCCTCCAATTTTATTTCCACCAGCAGAGAATGGTTCTAAGAGCATATTAGAACCATAGTGGTTCTAATAATAGAAGTTGATAAATAATTTTTATCTAATGATCAATACTATTATCAAAAGATAAAAACAATTATTTGCACGTTATATGCTACTTTGTTTCTGTCTATTCTTTTGTCCTAATCTTCACAACAGCCCGTACATGGGTAGATGTCATTATTCCCATTTTATACATGGGCCAACTGAGGCTCAAAATACTCAAATGGATTTGTCTGAGTTTATTGGTTAATTTGAAATGTAGCCAGCCTTCAAATACAACTTCTGTTTACAAAGACTGTTTTTTATACCTGGCTCATGCACATGCAGTTGAATAATAATATTTGAAATTTGTGTTTTAACATCTTTGATGCCAGCTACTTAATACCAGTTTAGAGACTTAATGTCTCATTACTTTGTTCTCTCTTTCTTTTGATAAAATGTAAATAAATCACTTTATGTTTGCCAAATATTACTCTCTGTATGTAGCATTTTGCCTATATGTTTAATCAGCACATCAAACCGGTTAAAGTAACTGCTGTTTTTCCCAGTATTTTATTTTGAATCTTTCAAACATCTATCATCAACTAGATTTCTGCAATTAGCATTGTTATACTTGGCTTTGTCATGTATCTGTCTTATCTGTCAATCAAGTTTATTTTTTATGCTTTTTAAGGTACAGAAATCATTACAGTTCCTTTAAACACTTCAAGATGTATATTATTTACTAAAATCCAGCATTTGAATTCTGTTTTCAATGTAAATTTTACATTTAAGTTCTTTAAGTACACATATTTGAATGTAAATTTTACATTCAGTTAAATGCACAAATCTTCCTCTGAGTTTTGAGAAATGTGTACACTCTGTAACTCAAATACCTATCATGCTATAACCATTACTCCTACTAAGTACTGTTTTTATGTACATTTTGTAGATGAGGAAACTGAACCATGGAGAGGTTAAGAGGTTAAACGTATCAGGTTGCATTGTCAATAAGTGGCAGACCTGCAATTTGAACTTGGGTGGTCTAGCTGTTGGGTTTTGCTCTTTACCAGAAAATCATAAGGCCCTGAATTATCCTCACAGGTTCTGATATCCTTTCACAATCACGTGTTTTTAAGGTACTTGCAGTGATAGACACAGAAATGGTACACCTGGGATTAGTGGGAGTAGACAGACTGTTCTAGAAGTGCACCTGATCCTCAACAAGGGTTCAAGGCAGGAGAAAGTAAAATGTAGGGGTGGAATGACACAAAAATTTACTTCACTGACACACAAAGGTGAATCCCTGTTAAGAACTGAACTGGAATCTTTAATTAATGTTTGCACATGTAAATGGTGAAGTGACAAGAGAGTTTGCCGATGATGACACTGAGGTTCAGGAAAATCCTAGAGTGCCACTTTAATAATTAATGGTAAATTATGTTCAGTGCAGCATATTTCTGCTCTATTTTAATGAGTAGAAAATTGTTCATTTATGTGCAATATGTGTAGTACTGCTTGATACCTTGATACCTCAGCTCCAAAATGATTTTTCTTTAAAATGACTCACTAAGTGGTTATAAAATTCTGAATTTTAACCCCTGGCTATGGGCAAAGAGACACCTGATTGGTGGTGGTGCTCTTATTAAAAAAAAAAAAAATTCTGAATTTTGTAAAATTTTCAACACAGAAACCGAGTGGAATTCTTTGACATTCCCACGCAAATTGTGTAAGATTTTGATAGCAAGGATTAAAATACCATAGAGGATATTACTGTTGTTGTCATTATTGCTTTCGATGTGTGGTGGACCATCACTATGAAAACACTTGATGAATTTTGACGTTTCCTTCCTGGATTATGTTCCTTCCTCCATCCAGACCTTAAAAAGTGTTAGTGTTCTTTGTTCACTACTCAGATGGTGAATAGTCAGCCATCATGTGTAGGTAAAAACTAAAAACAAAACAAGCAAACTGTTGTTATTCAAAATGTTTTTTGGGGGGGAAAAAGGATGGAGTTAGCAAAACCTCGTTGGTCACTAGAGGGCAGAGAAGAACTATATGTTAGGCGTTCTTTGGAAATTCCTGGCTTGAAAATGCTGAGCAATAAGGAAAATATATTGATGTAGAACCGAATAGAAATGTCTTTACAGTCTTATTCTCTTGTCTTGCTGTGAAATCCAATAACACGCTTACTTTTGTACCAAAGAAGCTTTTCTGGTAATTACATTGATTGCTTCAAAAAGAACATGATTATTTCGAAGAGTATCAGAAGTATCCCTCAGGAGAAAATACTGGTGCTTACAAAGTGTGGTGCATTAAATCATTTCTGCTATATGTAGCAGTCTGAAATTGGATTATAGGATAGAGTTCAGGTGAGAGACATTTTGAGAGAACAAGTAAATTTGAGACCAGTTGTTTACTGGTACATATTTCTGAGGATTTATTGAAAATGTGCCCTGTCGTATCATTGTTCTCGTCAGCTGAAGTGTATTGAATCATTAAGACTGTGAAATGATATATTTTTTAGTAAGTGAATCCAACTCTAGCTGCCTTTTTAAGATGTTAAAATTTGGCAAGTTGCTTTTTTCTAAATTTCATTTCTATTCTAGTTTTGAATCATTTTGTTACCATATATATTCGTGTATAAGCTGACCCGAATATCAGCTGAGGCACCTAATTTTGCCACAGAAACTGCATTAAAAGTGCGCTGGAAAACTCGGCTTATACATGAGAATATACGGTACCTTTTAAAGGAGTTTCGGTAGAGTAATAAATAGGTCAGACAGTGGGTTACTAACTTTGAGGCTTCAAACCTACCAGCCCCTCTGAGGGAGAACTATTTGGCAGTCTGTACCCATAAAGATTTACAGCTTTGAAAATCCTTAGGAGCAGTTGATTTGAAGGCCATGGGTTTAGTTGTTGTGGGTTACCTTTAGGGTTTTTCTGATATACATATTTAAATGAATGAAGCTGCTTAGTTAATGTATTTTAGTGAGTCACACAAGTTATTCAGGATTCCCAAAGATAGAAAATTTTCATTCTAAACTAGGTAAATTTTGAATTTTATTAAAAAAAAAAAAAACGAGTCATTTAGGATTCATTTCCACATGATATGCACCATATAGAACATAGATAACGTGGAACGCTCTGGATTTTGGAAAGAGAAGATTTGGGTCCACAATTATCATTTACTGCTTTGTGACCTTGGGCAGGTCACTTTACCCCTCTGAGCCTCTATTTTCTAAATTGAGAAGAACATCTCTATAGGGTTGTTTTGCCAGAAGTCTGGGTCTGTGTATGGACCCTGGAAAGCTGAAAATTTGTAAATATGAACATATCTCTGAAGTTGAGACTTTGCAAATAGGCATTTTAACAGCTTAGAGGTATGTACTCAGAAAAAAACCTCAGTCGTAAGTTTGAAGTGGCCAATTCTATCGTGGGCGAACTCACAGGAGAGCAATGACTGCATGAGTAAATTGTACCCCAAATGTGCTCTCAAAACCAAAACCCCAGTTCAGATTGCCGATTTCCTCCTTGTCTCTGAGCTTCTCTGGCTGCTTAATCTCTCTCCAACTCCTGGTTCTTTCCCTCCTCACGCCTCCTTATTTCTGCCTTCTGTTTATTTCCTTGCTCCCCCTCTCTGTGTTTCTCCTGACTGTCTCTGGTCTCTCTGTGTTTTTCTTGTCCCAGGCATCCTCAGGAAGACCCCCAGCCTCTAGCGGTACCTGGTATCATCTCCAGCATGTTTGTAGATGTGGAGGATTCACTGGGATATTGAGACATACCAGAGGCGAATTGTTCTGCGGTAGTAAGTCAATCAGCATTTATTAAGTGGCTGCTGTTTAGTTTACAAAGCACAGTTAGTGGTGCTTTGGGGGAAGTAGAATGAGTTAGGGCATAACACAGGAGAAATACGCTTGTGAATGTTTTTTTTCTTTGTGGAACCAATGGGCACCTATGCAGATGAAAACAACAAATTCAAAAACTGACAAATGATCATATAAATGAATTGTATTTTATATGTGCTGAGGAGACACAGAGTTAATGGAGTAGAGAAAGCCAGGTGGTATTATTCAGGTTTCTTGCAAAAGTTTAAAATTAGGTTTTGAAGTATGGTTGGAATAGAGATGAGGCAAGAGCGGGCTGAAGTGAGTAATTTCTGTGGGGTTTGGCAAGCCTGTGCTCAAGGCTTTAGAGTGAATCCCTGGGAAGGGAATGAATTGAGAGTGCTAAATTTCAGTCCACCAACAGCTAACTTTCCTTAAACTTCTGCAGTCCTAGAGAGAAACTCAGGTTATGAAAAGAAATACTGTAAGTTTACATTTCCCATAAACACAATCGTTACCAATTGCCAATGTGAGAATTTATAGAGCTTAGGTACACATTGTGATCATGTGCATCAGAAGCTGGACAAAGATAAGAAAGATTGAAGAAGAATTGGTGCTTTTAAGTTACGATGTTGGTAAAGAGTATTAAATATACTGGCCACTGCCAGAGGAACAAACAAACATGTCTTGGAATAAGTTCAGCCAGAATACTACTTAGCAGTGAGGATGGAGAGGATGCTCCCATGGTATGGAGATGGCATCAGGAGAGACCGGTCTTGGGAGAAGAACATCATCCTGGGTAAGCTAGAGGGTCAGCAAAAAGAGGAGCACCTTCAACAAGATGGCTTGAAACAGTGGCTACTACAGTGGACCCAAAGTAGCAGCAGTGGTGAGCACCGCGCAGGACGGAGCAGTGTGCTGGTCAGTGTTGGGCCGCTATGAATCGGAAGTTTGACACAGGCTGCAACGGTAGGCACAAACAGAAGAGCAATTGGGAGGCTGGTGCAGAACGGGGCAGTGTTCCCTTCCGTTGTGCAGAAAGCCTCGATGAGTCGGAATTGATTCCACAGAACCGAAGACCAGAATTGTACTCAGCCCTAACAACAACAATATCAGAACATGATCTGAGCACGAAAATGAATTTACATGATGGGGCTTTCTCGTTTATGCATTATTACAAATGAAACCCAAGAGGAGCAAGCTTTGTGGACCTTGGGCAGGCCGTTTTCAGGAGTATAGAGCTGCTAGCTCGTAGACACACACACTTGAATCTCCTTAAACAATGCTAAATCGATTTCCACAGAACTTGTTCCAGTTTCTATGACGAGTGCAGGTTAAGTGTTCCATCTGTTAGTCAGTATCTCCCAGCGTACTTCAACATCACCGTCACATCTTTCGGAATGGGCCTCTGTGTGACCTGTGCAGAATTAAAACACGAGAATAACCTTTTAAGTTGCTTACAGTGCAATAGTACTAGTACCCCAAAGAACCTCGTTTTTCTGGGTTGCTTTTCTCCTTCTCGCTGCAGCTTTTATGCCTTTAGATTCCACGTGTCACTCGCACCCATCTGTAAGCCCAGGCCCCCTGAAACAGCTAGTCCAACATCCGTGGGTAGGCTTGGGGTTTGCTAGCTCAATTTCTTCTCAGCAAACCGCATCATAAAAATGGAATGTTTTCTTATGTTAAATGAAAAATGTCAACAGCTCCTAACTTCTCAAGACAGTTTCGGCAGATAAATGTCCATTTCTTTTCTTGGCCTTTTCTCTTTCTCTGAGTTGAAATAGAGAAAGAGTGACCCACAAGGACTGTTTGCAAGCTGCACTGACTCGCTCAATTGTGTGGTGTTCTACTTTCCCAAAGTCCCAGAAACTTGAGTAAATAACTCCAGTGTATTTTAGTCCCTTGCCCTGTCTTATGTGATTCTTTTGGCTTCTGGTCATTCCTTTACAATCCATTCCAAATGTGACATATTGATCATCTTCTAACCTCAAAAGCTGTAGTTGGTGACCTGTAACGGTACTTGAATGTTACCGTTACATTGTCAAGCCTGTTGCCATCATCAACCATAGCTGTTTTCTGAGGTTTCTACGCAGGGATAGCCTAGTGCCTGGCATTTACTATTCATTGCACGTATTTGGGATGTAGAAAGAAAAATGTAAATGCAGTAAGCTATGAAATGGCTTTTTCCTGCTTGGCGACAATAATTTCCCTATAAGGACAAGGCAGAAATCAAGAGAACCATAAGTAGCTTTGTAAACCGTAAGTAAGTCATTGTTTCTGCACTTCCCCCTTCAAATAATGAGCGTGGTAGACCTGGGATTTATGTGATTCTATTTGGCTCCAGCATTTTGTATTCTGTGGGCACTATTCCCCGAGCTTGGACCTGTGCACCTTTCCGTGCTTTAGGCCCCTGACTGGGTCACGGTGACCTACCAGGTATTGTCTCATAACTCAGCAATTGGAGCATACATTAAATATGTCTTCCTCTCTTAGTGATTTAGGGTTGGTTTGTTGTAGAGGAAGAATACATTTCCTTTGAGAAAGTATAATAAATACCCCTTGCTTCCTGATTTCATCCACCTGGAAATCCAGACGTTGTTTGATATAAGAGCTTGAGTCCTGCCCCTTGTACCTCTTTCTTTTCTTCTAGTACCCAAACTGTGACCAGGGCAGCTCCTTCTACCCTTTATTATTTGCCGCAGAACTCAACGGGGCTCGCAGGTAATGATTGTGAGGCGGGCTCAGCACTGGCCAGTGTTTTATTCTGTTGCAGAAGGTTCCTATGCGCCGGAACGGACTCGGCGGCCCCTAACAACTATAGGACTTACCACCAAGCCTTTCTCTCACGTTTCAATTGCTGCTTTGAACCCGGGCTCGCCTTACCACTGGGGCTTGCTCTGGAGTCAGTGGATCTGGCTTAGTGTGGTGCTGCAAGTTTCCTGCAGTGCAGGAGCAGTTCTCCCCGGGTGACACTCAGCTCCAGAGGCACGGCGACAGAGGGCCTGCACTCTTTCCCTCCCTGTCCTCTGTCTTCACATTGCTCTCCCAGGAACTCCCAGGTTCGCATGTATCAACAGCCGCTTTCAAGGAGCTGCCTGACACTTCTATTCTCCCCTGGCTGATATTGCCTAAACACAGAGTTGACCACTGGAACAACACAAGTTTGAACTTAACATTGGTCTACTGATCCATGGATTCCCCCCTGTCCCCCTTTCAAAATGCTGTTTAAGGCTATTTATCTGTGTGAACAGTAAATTGTTTATTAAGAGTGATCTCTTACGCGCCTCACATAATTTTCATTGTGTTTCCTGCAATCTTGTAACTTGGAATGTGGCCATGGAATGCATCTGAACTGCCCCTGGTGCTGCTGGAAGTGCTCCAGAGAAAGGGAGGGAAACCAGGACATTTAAGAATCACGCGATACTTAACGTAAATGGAGGTTTGCGGCTGTGGTTGCCTATCATTTCAGTTGAACCCAACGTAAGGACCATTTTTAAAAAGAAAAGGAAACTTGTGAGACCAGCAATGCCAGCAGGAGTGAACACCTTGCGCGTTTTGTGAAAGCCCTTTTTATCGCATGTTGAAAATGTAGATTTTGTGTGGACGCAGTGTGTAATGCATAGAGCATAAAATATGGGTTGCTTGGTATCAGGGATCCTTCTAGTCAACTGTAAACCATTACCAGCTTTACGGGAATCAAAAGTTATAAACCGAATTTTGTATAACTCTGTGTGCGTGGCGGGGGGCGGGGGCAGATCAGTGCCCTTAGTCTCTGAGTTTCTTGAGGATCCACTGTGGCCTTTGTAAAGGAATCATTTGTGAGTGGCTCTGAGGTTCTCCAAGCATCAAAGGTGCGTGCATCGCACACAGGCAGTAAAATGTCGAGGACACAGGGCCAGGCACACCTGCTTCCTCTCCTCTCTGTAGATCATAAACACACCCAATGGCTCCTGAGGGTTGAGAGCAGCGCTTAGTTTGACTGTAAACCAAGACCACCCAGGTTCTTTCTAGTTTTTAGTAAGTGATACAAAATAATCTCAATATGGTAGTATAGATTTCCTATGTGAAATCCATGCCCAAGTCTAGCTTTTTTTTTTTTTTTGCTAAGAAGCAAATGAGGCAAGAAAAGCAATTTTATTTTTAAACAACAAAACACATAAAAAGGGAGACTTCATTAATGGAATTCAGTTAGGATTTTTTTTTGTGAAATGTAAAATTGTATATCATGGAAAGCCCAATGTTAACCTCCTCTCTCTACGTGCATCAGAGATCCACTGGGCTATAGAAACATCACTCACTCACTGTCTTTAAATTGATTCCGACTTATAGTAACCACAGATGACAATAGAATTGCCCCTGTGGGTTTCCGAGACTAATTCTTATAAAAGTAGTAAACCTCTTCTGCGGAGCAGCAGGTGGTTTTGAACTGCTTTTCTTGCAGTTAGCAGCCCAACCAGTAACCTGCTACCCCATCAGGGTTACGACCTGGGGAACAAGAAACCACACTTTCTCAGATAATGCAGCCTCTCCTAATTACTTCTAGATAACTCCAAGAGATTCCCTTTTAAGTGTATGTATATAAAACATTTGTCAAATGTTGACTTCCAGCAGGAGGCAGTTAATACCTTCCTATCTCATGGATCAGATGCCTTTTTGTTAATCAGAAATGTAAGGGAAGAAGCATTCATTTATGCCTGTAAGGGTAGAATGGGGGCAATTCCCTGACACAAAACTTGCTGATAGGAAAATGCTCCCTGTAACCAGTGTGTCTTTGATTAATGTAAAAAGGCTTGGCTTCTTAACTGTTTCACATGAATGTTTTAAATGTTCAGTGATAAAAGTGTCTTGGGTAGTTTTAATTCACTCAGCATTTTATGAATGTAGACAATCATAGATGTGCTTCAGAAAATGTCAAGCACTCATTTAGTCTTTATTTTAAGTTAATGATTTTTAAAAAGACACCTTTAAAAAACTGTGTTCT